CCGCATAGTTCTAAGGTATTATCTATAACGATCCAGCTATTCATAGATTAAATCTCAAATAATATCAGACTATACACTCATTAGCCTCAAATAATACACCGATCAAAGAATGCGATAGTAATCTTAATATAATTGAAATTCACAAACCTTTCGTTGCACACTCTGGTCCTAGAAGCATGATCTCCGCTACTCTCCTCAATTCAATCAATATGCAAACACAAAGTACCGAACAACTTTTATATCTTTTAGCAGAATATTATGGCCAAGAAACTATTAAATCCAAATAGAGAAACTGTATCTGTTTCTGCAATATGATTAGAACGATAGTTTTACCTTTCGTTTGCTAAACAAGATGTTAGTTTTCTTGTGAAAATAATTAGTAATATTTCCACTACATGCTATCTCTCACGTAAATGTATTGCTAAATTCTTTTAGAGAGTATATCTTTCCATCCCTTGTTTTTACCAAGTTTATCCTCTTAGGAAACCATATCAAATAAAATATGTGAAACCAATGAGTTTGATCGATGTTAGAAATCCTTCTAATGACTTTTAGCTGCATATAGTAACTCTGAGTTTAAGTACGTGCCTTTTAGCATTTTATCGGTGCTTCCAATAATGACATTGAAAGTCAAATTGTCGCGTCCACAATTTTAATCAAGAGAAATAATCAATAACCTGAGGTTCGATACATTGATTTTCCTTACAAGTCAATTGCTGACCAAAGGATGTGCATTGTCACAATAGTGGATTATGCAATTTCTACCTAACCTACCATCTATCATATTTCTTGGCATGGAAATGTATTGACTTCATAATTTGCAAGTGTATCTACCAATAATTAGAATAGCAAATTCTTTGCCTATTTATAAAGCTCTCATCTTTTGATATTCCACGGTTCATATCTTATTCCTCTTGAGCCAGAATCTTACTCCTCTCCTCATAAATGATCCTCTCTATCTACAAAAGATGAAGGTGTTCCGTCAACCTTTAAGACATTTACTCAAGAACACTATTAATGCATCTTATTTGTGATCCATTTGTTTCATCAAAGATTATGATCCATCATATGGAAAGCACTCCTAATTGCAATAGGATATGCATCATCATGCGTTCTAACCCTGAAAAATCGGATCAATGATTTACCAAAATAAGCTATTTGTATCACTTCATCTTCATTCCCTTAGCCGAGTGGGGTGATTGGCAACCCTCAGAAGATGAGTAAACTTTGTGCAGGTCCTATGTTGTCCCCTAGAACTCAAATTTGCAAATGCAAGCACTATGTTCAACGGATAAATGGAGGAAGAGGCCTTTTAGGTTGAATCTACTTTTAAATATCACATGGAAAACTGTATGTAAGCTCAGAGTAGGGAGTGAGCTTCCCTTAATTTTTTCATAGCTGAGAAATAAACTTTGTCACACGAAGCATCCATCTTTTTTTCTTGTATTATATGTAGACCTTTGATATGGTTGGTTCTATTTTTTTTTCTATGTTGCTAATGAAACATGTGATATGAATCTTGAGTGATGGTCAAGTTAATCATGCGACAGTGGCATTACTCCAAAGCAATGGCAAGCTTGGCATATATTTTATGTCGTACTTTTCTGTAATCAACAAAATCCAACGTGAATCCTCTACTGACTATGTTTAACAAAGATTAACCATCTGCAACTTTTAGCTACATGTAGTGCCCCTTAGGTTAACCATGCACTTTTTAAGCATGAACGGAACATGCAATAATCATGTTGAATATCGTCGAATTACCATGTCTACAGTCTCTGAAAATCTTAAGGTTGGTAGTCAATATTTCGTAAAATTTGAAGTATTCATCAATTGAACAATTTAGACCAGACCTACAATGTATGACATTTGCCACTATGGAAATGTGCATTAAATGCAAATATGCGAGTGTATCCACAGTAAAAATGAGTTTGCACCAAAAATTGCCCATCTATACAATTCTTTTTCTTTTTATGCACCATGCTTCTTCGCTCTCGCTAATTAGCCTCACAATCAGACCCCACATTACATCTCTCCTTATGCTAACTCTCCCACCATGTGACATGACCTTAAGGCTGCATTTGATCGTTTGGATTTTTAACCAGGATAGGATTGGATAGGATAGGATAGGATATAAAATCTGCTATATTCTATCTATTGTTTGGTGAATTACAGTACTATAGTCGGATATATTCACATATTACCATGTCTATTATTTGCTATGAATATCATATCAGTGTAAATGGACCTAAAAATTACATAAACGGAGATGATAAAAATTTCTCACGACACTCTTATCTACTTCATTTTTATTTGCTTATTTTTTATTACCTCTCTTTTTAAATTATTTTATTTTTTATTTCTTTTTTCCCCTTCCATCATTCTCTAATAAATTTTTATTAAATAGTAAACTATACAAATATACCTAAAACATGTAATAAATATAAATAGTAAATATATTTATTTATATAAATATATATGAAATTTATATAATAAGATAGAGAGAAATTTGAATATATAAATAAAAATAAGAATAGAAAAACGAATTTATTGTTATTTTGAAATATAAATGGAACTAATTTTGGCCATACACCACATCCTATGATCTAATGGCCAAGGTTCTTTGGTTAATGTGAAAATATTGATTTTATTGGCTCTTTTTAATGCACATGGATGGGTGACGTGGCATTTGTAATGGTTAAGAATGAAAGGAAAATGAATGGTTATGATGGGTTCTTCCAAAGGATTGATGACATGGATTTTTATTTTTTATAATTAGGGGAAATGGCAATTTGGTAAATATGAGAAGAAATGGCCGGCCATGGGGGCTAAATGGGCTGATTGTTTCAGCCAAATGGGCTGATTGTTTCTTATTGGGCTTCAACCTAATGGGCCGAACCAGGTTGGCCTGGGTTGACCGAGTTGACTCAAAGCCTTCCAATTGTCTTAATCTTCTAAATCATTCCTACCTAGCCTACCTTCTATCATAGTTCTTGGTATGGAAATGTACATGCAAATTATGCACGTGTATCCACCATTAATGAGAATAGCAAATTCTTTGCCTATTTATACAGCCCTCATCTTTTGATACTCCATGCATCAATATCTTATTCCTCTTGTGCCACAATCCTACCCCTCTCCTTGTATACGATCCTCTCTATCCACAAAATATAAAGTTGTTCTGTCAACCTTTATGATATTTTCCTCAAGAAACCTATTGATGCATCAAGTCTGTGATCCGTTTGTTTCATAAAAAATTATGGTCCATCATACAAAAAGCACTCCTAATTTCAATGGGATATGCATTATCATGCGTTCTGACCATGAAATTTTGGATCAATGATTTACCAAAATAAGCTATTTGTATGACTTATGCAAAACGTGACATGGTGTTGTCTACAAAATGCATGTTTTACTGCTTTGGCAATGGCCATTCCATAACTATGGTGGAGGTGATAAATTCTTGAAATTGCATTATTTATCCATCTCAATGGTCATGTATTGGTAATATTTCGTGTGAGCTTGTTAACAGGATTATCTTTTATAAGGTCCTAATATGCAATCCTCTGTCTTCATGCATCATATTCCAAGTGTTTCAATAATGGGTATCTTCTAAAGCATGAGTGTTGTACGATTTTCTCGTGCCGTTGCTTCTCTTGAGAATGGTTGCGTGTATTGCTTGCAACTTTTACATGACTATGTTATTAATATAAGGGTTAATACCATCAAAAACCCCAAACTAGTACACGTGATAATTTTACCCTGAACTTTATTTTTTTACTACCAAAAACCTCAAACTGGTACATTTGTGACAATTTTACCCCGAACATACCCAAAAAAACCCCAAACTGGTACACTTGTGACAATTTTACCCTGAACATACCACAAAAAACCCCAAACTGGTACACATGTGACAATTTTACCCTGAACTAAAATTTTAATATTATTTTTTCGAATTTTTATTAATTTTTTTGTTTTTTTGTTTTTGTTTTTTTTCATCTTCAACCTCTGGCCGGTGAGGTCGGCCCCGCCGGCTGCTGGCAAGGGCAACCCTCGCCTGAGTCGGGCAAGGGCTGCCTTCACCGGATCTGGCGAGGGCGACCCTCGCCTGCGTCGGGCGAGGGCTACCCTTGCCGGCGTCGGGCGAGGCCGGCCCTCGCCTGGGCAGGCACGGGCGGCCCTCGCTCGACGCCGGCGAGGGCGGCCCTCACTCGATGCCGGCGAGGGCGGCCCTCGCCGGCGTCGGGCAAGGGCTATCCTCGCCCGACTTAGGCAAGGGCAGCCTTCGCCCGACGCCGGATCCGACGAGGGTAGCCCTCGCCTGAGTCGGGCGAGGGCGGCCCTCGCCCGCGCCGGCGAGGTCGAGCCTCGCCCAGCGGCCGGCAGGGCCGACCTCGCCGGCTTCCGCCTCTGGCCGGTCGCCGGTCCGGCGACCGGCCAGAGGTTGAAGATGAAGAAAAAAAAGAAAAGAAAAGAAAAGAAAAAATAAAAAAATTCGAAAAAATAAAAAATAATATTAAAAAATTATTAGTTCGGGGTAAAATTGTCACAGGTGTATCAGTTTGAGGTTTTTCGTGATCAAAAAATAGTTTAGGGTAAATTTGTCACGGGTTTACTAGTTTGGAGTAAAATTGTCGCAGGTGTACTAATTTGGGGTTTTTGGTGATAAAAAAAATGTTTGGGGTAAAATTGTCACATGTGTACCAGTTTGGGGTTTTTGGTGGTAAAAAAAAAAGTTCGGGGTAAAATTGTCACACACGTACCAGTTTAGGGTTTTTGGTGGTATTAGCCCTTGATATAATACATGACTCATATGATTGTCAACCTATCAAGGTTACATGGCATCTAAAAAAGACATTCAATGCAAAGTGGACCGAGCCTTTAACCAACTTGTTTGTAAGTTTGTTGGTTGAGGAGGTCAAAAAGGGAAATCGTACATCTTGTACTTACAACAAAGTCGGGTGGAATAATATACGGGTTGAATTCATTAAACAATCAGGATGCCAATATACCATACTTCAGTCGAAGAACAAGGTGAACAAACTAAGAAAATATATGGCAGTTTTAAGAAGCTTCTTTCACAATCCGGATTTGGCTGGGATAATGTGAGTAAAACTGTGGTTGTCGACGATCCAAGTATTTGGGAATCTCACATCAAGGTATCTTTTAACTTTTGATTATTTTGATGTCATTGTAGATGTAAGTTTTAAAATGTTTGATTATGTTATTGACATGTCATTATTGTGAAAATTGTAGGATAATAGTGAGTGGACAAAATTCAAGAAGGATGGATTTTCCCAGTATCCTAAGCTGTGTATTGTATTTGGTGGTACATATGCTACTGGGGATCATGCCATAGGAAATGCCAAAGATTTGACGGTGTCAGAGGAAGGTGACAATGGTGGTGGCAATGTAGACGGTGATCCAGAGGACTTAAGTGATCACCACATTGATGAGACAGTCTTTACATCCGGCAATAGTGCTGATCTAGTTCATGACAAGCACAAATTGGATAGGACTCCAAATACCAAGAGGAGAAGAAAGAATACCTCATTTTGCATTGCTGACACTTGCAAAGTTATACAGGAGCTGATCAAAACTAAGACAAGTCAATCTGCGAGTGGCTCTGCCACCTCACGGATCACACAACCACCTGTGGACCCTTTCTCCATATCCGCGGTCATTGATAGCCTACTTAGTATGCCTGACTTGGGACCAAATCTTTACAGCAAAGCAGTGGAACGACATGTGTTAGTGCCACATAGAGGGAGGCTTTCATCAAAACTCCAGTTGAATGGAAAAATGCACTTCTTCAATCTTTTTAGTAGATGTTGGGAAATGTAGTGTGGATTGCGTGGGGTTTTATTTGATTGTATGATATTTGGTTTTTAGAGATATTGATCTCGACACTCTTGTACTTTTTGTGGTGCCATGAGTATGACAAACTGTTTGGGTGCTATTTATATATTTGGTTTGCTTTTACTCTACGACTTATGTTTTTGGTTGTTATTGGATTTTTTATTTTTTATTTTTACATATCTATATTAATGTTTTTGTATTTGTGTGATGATATAGGTACTATGGAAGGGGGATCAAATAGTGTGTCTAATGGGCAGGTAGATCCAGATGAACAATTCTTGGATGATGATGATGTTCACATATTGATAGCATGGTTGTGCATCATTGCGAAGGACGTGTTCATGCATACGAAAGAACCTATTAGGGACAGCAAACTATCAGGACCTGAATGGATAAGGGAAATTATTTATGGACATTCAGATAGAATATATGAAGCCTTCAGGATGGAGAGACATGTTTTTCTGAACCTATGTGAATTAATGAGGGCAAAAGGTTGATTGAAAGATAGTCGGTTTGTTAGGATAGATGAATAAGTTGGGATATTCTTATCTATGGTTTGTCACAATAATTCCAATAGAGATTTATGTGAGAGATTTCAACGTTAAGGAGAAACAATTAGCAAGTATTTCAATATAGTGTTGAAAGCAATTTTCAAACTCTCAAATGAGGTTATCAAACCACTGTCTTTTGATATTGTCCCACAGGAAATTCTTATGGATCCTAATCATGAATGATACTTCAAGGTATGGTTCTTATTTTTAGAGTTTACACTATCAAATACATGTAGTTGATAATCTTGTATAACATTAGATTTTCATAAATGCACAGGTCTATGTAGGTGCTATTGATGGCACCCATATCAATGCTTCCGTCCCTGTGTCTCAGCAGGTCCCATTTAGAGGTAGGAAAGGGAATACCACATAGAATGTGCTGTGTGTTTGTTCATTTGATATGAAATTTACTTTCGTGTATTCTGGGTGGGAAGGATCTGCCAATGATTGTTGGATGCTTTCGGCAGCACTCGAGACACCTCGACTGCAATTTCCTTGATCACCACTGGGTATTTGCTTTGTCTACAAGAAGAAACTTTATTTATGATTGTATTATGGTTGCATATCATTACAAATTTATATATACCATGTTATAGGCAAATACTACGTGGTAGATTCTGGTTATGCATCACTTCCGGGATTTTTAACTCCGTTTAAAGGTGAACGGTATCATTTGAACGATTATAGGGGACGTGGAAGACGGCCAAGAACAGCAAGAGAATTGTTTAACCATAAGCACTCTTCACTGAGGAATGTTATTGAGAGGTCATGTGGGGCATTAAAGAATCGCTTCATCGTTTTGAGACACATGCCTTTATTTACAATTAAAAAGCAAGCACTTATTGTGATTGCATGTTGTGCTCTCCATAATTATATTCGTGACCAAGACAGGATAGACAAAAACTTTTCCCTTTATGGAGATCCGGTGTACCCGTTTGGAGCTAGAGAAGTGGAGGTTGCGGATGGTACATCACATGAACAAGCAGCTGAGATAAACATGCTTAGAAAAAGTATTGCAAATAAAATGGCAAGGGATTACAATTTGCCCGTCATTCCATGATTTGTGTTTCCGACTTTTGTAATATTATTTTTAAATACTAGATGATGATGGGAGAGGATCCTTATGTGTCTTGAGTTTTTGTGTGCCTCTCTTGTTTACATTCATATGCAAGTTTCCACTATGTATAACTTAAGCCTTTATCTTGGATAATTGACGTCTTGTTGGTTAACTTGTTAAAGAAAGAAAGCATGGTTGAAGTGTTGGCTATGGCTTCAAGATGGTAAAATCAATCAGAGTTGAAGGGGTTAAACTGTGATTTCGAAAAGAAATGCAGCCATACCATCTTCTTTTCTATTCTGCCGCCTCTCACGGAGAGACGAAATAGTTTCCTTGAGTCAAAATATGATATAGTCAAAATTCGTTATTCGCTGATAGGAGTGATAGAGGGAAGAGTTTATACCAACTATATATCATGTTTATACATATCACCATGTATATACCAAGTATATACATATTACCATGTTCACCATGTTTTCTTCACTTACAATAATTAGCTAGCAAGTTCTAAAAAGCACTTGAAAAAAATTTGGAATAGAAATTTTCTGCAATTATCAAACGCATTTTTGTTCTTTTACTATTCCAGGAATAGAAATTTTGGGCAATTACCAAACGCCTTTAAATGCTCAGAATCAATTCCCGGGCATAGAATAAAAAAGAATCATTTCTGACCAGAATCTGATTCTGGGCACAGAATGATTGTCATGCGCAGCCTAACTTTCTAGAACTCCTATCCTATCCTAAAATATCCTAATCTATTATATGAAAATAATCAAAATTTATCCTAAGCATGCAATGTATTATCTTTACAAAATCAACTCACATTTTATCTAATCTTTTTTATATTTTTTTATTGAAAAACAATCAATTTAACTCAAACAAACACGGAAAGAAATAGCAATCAAATCAACATGTCACCAAATCACACAAGAAATATTATCTATATCCATCTAAATTTTAAGAAAATTGATTGACAAATCATATCCCCGAGGATCGAATTGGCCAATTTTTCACGCAATCACGGATCACATCTTGGGCGGGAGATCGCACTGACGATTTTCCGTGCGATCGATCGCGAATCGTATCTCGGGTATGAGATCGGATTGATGATCATAGCACGTTATGAAATTAGGAAATAATTCTTAATTTAAAGGCTACTCGGGGATTTCATGGATATAGTAATATCACTCATATATTCGACCAAGGTCACGATATTTCAAACAAGGAAACAAAATATTCGGAAATCAAATTGAATAAGATTCTTACCTAATTTACAATGTCATGCGGATAACGTTACAAAGTCGGACTCGACAGATGGTGACTTGAGATAGTGGTGCACGGCGGTAGGACGACGATGGGGACCGGCTCACGGTGGTGGCTCGGCTCCACCGTCGTGGTTGGTGGTGCTCACGGCAAAGGATGGGTTCACAGTGGCGCAAGGAGCTTCTTGGTGGGCATTGCTGTTCGTGTTTTCGGCTAGTTATTTCATCGGGAAACCTGCGAAAGCAAAACACTCCAAAGCGGTGCAAGGACTTTCAGATCGCGGCTAAGATTCGTCACTGCAAGTGCTGGGACGAATCAAGGCAGGGTTTCCTCAGCTGGTGTTGGCTCGGTGCACAGCAGGGAGGAGCATCGCAGTACTCGGATGATCGCTAGAACTAAGGCACGCTAATGTCTCTCTGCTATATGTTCCCATGTCATTTTAACTGTTTATTCCGCATTGATTCACTTCCTTTGTAAGAAAAAGTTATTAATGGCGGTTACAAAATCAAAGCGAACTCAGCGTGTCATTTCCAACAGATTTCAATTCTCGTATATTTTGGTTAGGTCATTTTTTCCATTTTGTGGTCGCACGTAGAAGCTTTTGAGACAGACGATCGCCGCTCCAGATACAAATCACAGTGCATGATCACTCCATTGAATTGCATCACATGTCATGTGTAGTTTTTATTACACAGAATCATAAAAAACAATATGGACAACGTACCCACGACTGCATAATCATAGACGCAGCAGAATATTCATATAGGCCATGCTAACAAACGAGAAAAGGACCACACTAAGGGCACTTGGGCTGTCCCTTGGAGTTCTTCATGTCCCGGTAACAAGGGCACTCGTCCTTGTTGCCGTACCTCCCGGACGGGACGCAGTGACATTTGCCACAGCAAATCCCGCAGTACTCCAAGCACCGGTCCTTCCTTCCCGCCTTTGAGCACCTCACCGCACACTTGGAGTTGCAAAAGCCTCAAAACACACAAAACAAACACAACACACATTCAATATCAAGAAGGCCATCTCAACAAAAATACGGAAACGCCCAGGAGGGATCGAGATAAAAAGAGTCTTACTTGAGCCGGCCATGGTGGAGTCAAAGAAGGAGGAGCCGAGAAGAAGAGCCACCAGAAGAAAAGTGGCCAAAGCAAGCTTAGTCATCGTCCCAAATGTACTGCTATTACAGGAATGGCGTGTTTATCTGTATGTGTAAGATCAGAGAGCCAACAGAGAGAAATTGGCAAAAGAAGAGATAGAAGAGTCTTGTTACTGATGTGTGCGAGGTGGTAACGGAATAGGCGAGAGGGAGAGTATTTATATAGGGAGAAGTTGGGCATGTAGGGGAAGAATGCCTACAAAGCAACGAAAGCGTTGTGTCCCAGATAATGACAATCCTAGTGTGGGTACTATGCGAGAGCGCTGGATTTGTTTGACGACTAGGTTGTTTTGGCGAAGGTGAAAGGTGACACGATGGGATGAGAAGGACAACTAGCGCTGCGCCCTCGGCGTTGGAATCGCTCGATTTCTGATAAGCGATTCGTCTCTCCAAAAAATTCTTGAAGGAATGTTCTGACTTTTCAAATACAAGAAGCATTGCTTGCGTCAATCATTACCAAAGCCATTCCGTGAAAGCTAATGAGTCGGTCAATCATCATGCAGGCACAATTTGAAGGTTACGAAAAGCTTCTTGACCGTCGTTTACGTAGCTTCTTGCTTTAATTTATAGTTGCCTTTACCCTAATTAATTAGGGTAACGCTTCTTTTTTATTTTTCTTTTTCCTTATCATGGTTTTGATTAAAAAAAAAAAAAGCAAACAATACTGTGAGGAAAAACAATTAGCGAAGCATTACCAGCTCCCGTGTCTTTTCTTGTTTTGCTTTAATTTATCTTATAAATAATTATCAAAGTTGACTTGTACCAAACTCCAAAAAAGTATGACTTTAGTTTCCTAACGTCTACTTACAATGTAGCATCAGTCAATAAAAATCTTTGAAAAGATTATTGTAAATATTTTGGGGGTTCCTTAATGTGACATATTTTATTGCTTGACTTGCACAGAATACATACATTCATCTTCTTCTCTAACAAAGCTTGCATTTCTTGGCTTAAAAGCATATCCCACCAAAATAATACACATGAAGACAAAGGAAAATTGCCGGTTTTGGTTTTAAAGTTGCAAACCGTGTTAAGAGTGAGATCGTTTGTGGGCTCCTAGGAATAGAATCACAAAACCAGCAGTCCAGCCGTAGGAGACACTGGTTGCTAGCTGGGTTTGATTCCGTTTATGGGAAATAATCATTATTATCATCCAATTAAGAATACTATATATATATATATATATATATATATATATATATATATATATATATAATATGAAGAAGTCTAGGAGGAGTGGAGGTTACCCCATGCTAATGGCAGGGCATGGATTTACATATCGCACCAAAGAGGACTATCGACAGTGGGATTCGAACATGGACACGGTGTGAGGAGTATTGGAATCATGCCAGCTGAGTCAGCCCACTTTGGTGGAAACTATTTATTCCAAGGAGGAATGTGAGTATATACTCCCCTAAAAATTGACTTGCTAGGCTAGCCAAGCACTCGTTGTTTTTTGGGTTGCATAGTCGGTGGGTTTGGAACGTCAAGACGGCCTTGAAATTTGATAGGTTGAGAGAAAAATGGAAAGCAGATTTAATTTAGTTTTTGCATGGGGTATCGAAATATGTGCAAGGTTGGCCCCGTCACTTGATGATATCAATTGTGTCTATATCATATGACTTTGGTGGACGATTTTGCCGCTTTGAGTAGAAGTTAAGTCGATTCACCCACAGCTGTTGTGAACCTTTCCTTGGAAAGGAAGATCTCAGCTAGTTATGCAATTGCATGCTCTATATTCATTCTCTCTCTCTCTCTTCGCGAGGGCTACTAGGTAAGCCCTGCAACTTTCTTGGGTGCATTTTTCTCTTTGCATCTTTCGTGCAGCATTTATAGCTTGGATAGGTTTGACTTTGACTAGCAAAGTTATTAAGAACAATACCTACACGTGATCCAATAAGGATTCATCGAGAGGACACGCCAAAACATTCCTGAAAAGGGCTTTTCAAAGTGAAAGAGAATAAAATTACTTGCACAAACAAAAACATCATTTAATTCAATTTATCTATATATCATTGTTGACACAAAAACAATGTCCAAATGTTGTGGTCGTTAGCATGGTCAACTAGCTAGAGTCTTCTTGAATGACCACTGTGTTGAGAATATGTCTCTGGTTTGAGTAGATTTTCTAAAAAGAGTTTATTTTGAATAGGAACATTATATACATAAGTGTGATATTAAGATTCTACTCTAATATCATATACAACAGAGCCAACAAGAGCAATATCATATTTTCTCTCTATGAGTTTTCTAAGCAAGTTTTTTGCGAAAGATTGTAAGATAATAATTGTGAGTTTGCTTTGGATGTAATCTAGGGTTAGGAAACACTTGAGTGATGGTAAACACCGTATTATTCAGATTCATAGTGGATTTTTTGCGGTGGCTCTCCCTGTAGAATAAGTACTGACGCTCCAACCGAATCACATAAATCTTTGATGTTCTTTATTTTTCTCATTGATTTATGTAGTAATTTTCTCCTTCTCATGTTAAGCATAAATTGCATGATCCCTTAGCTTCCATGTTATTTTCATAACAATTGGTATTTGAGCTAAGGTTAGGGTTTTCTAGAGTCGATTTGATGTGTTTGCTTGTTTGATCACTGTTTGAAAATTCTGTTGCTACAATTATGTCTAGAGCGAAATTTGAGATTGAGAAATTCCCCAGGATGAACAAGTTTGGGTTTTGGAGCATTAAAAGGCGTGCCCTCTTAACAACTCAAGGTTTGGTGAAGGCATTCGATGGCAATAATATAAGTTGCCAGAAACTATGAAAGAGGCCGATAAGGTAGAGTTGATGGAGATGGCGAAAAGCATAATCTTGTTGAATCTATTAGATTAGGTATTGATTGAAGTGGCTGAAGAGAAGGACGTCGCAGAATTTTGGGCAAAACTTCAAGTTGTTTATCTGATGAAGAGTTTGAACAATTGCTTATATATGCTGAAAATGATATTTCAATTCAGCATGGTTGAAAGTACATCTATTAGAGCCCATCTAGATGAGTTTAATAACTCATGATGGAATTGAAGAATGTTAATGAAACCTTACCTTATGAGAAACAAGGCATGATGTTGTTGATGTCTCTATCAGATTCTTTTGAGCACTTTACTAATTCGCTGCTACAAGGGCACACTACAATTACCTTGAAAGAAGTAAAGTCCGCCTTATTTTCTAAAGAATGGCAAAAGATGTTATGAGAAGATGTTAAATCATGTCTCAAGTTACACCTCATGTACGAAACCCAACCCAATTGGAGGATATATACCGATCCATATTGGATGATGCATAGAGGAAAAGTCCTAATTGGAAATTGATTTGGTGTGCCCTTACTTTCCTAATTCGGAATCTCTATAAGGTTTTCTTTAAAGGCCTGTTGACACCTAAATTTTTGCCAACAGGTCCCATATGGTAAAAACTCGAGACTTGGGATCTCTTATCATGACTGGGCCCATTTCTCAGCCAAAAATAGTCCTTAAGTATCATATTATAAAATTTGCGAAAATCACAAAAAAAAAATTAATTATATCTTTACAAGCATGGTTAGGCTTTTAATTTTCAAATTTTTTTATAAAAATGACCAAAAGTTGATTTTTCGGTTAAATTGATGATTTTGAGCCTCAATTAAAAAATTCCAAACAATAACATTGATGTGACATTGATGAGTTTTTTTTTTATTTTGACACTCTGAAGAGTGTTTTTTTTTAACTCATTTGTTCATATTATGTTTTTTCTTATGAAAAAAAATACCAAATAATAACATTGATGTGAGATCAATGAGTTTGATCAGTGTTGCAAATGCGTTTAATTTAATAAGGTGGTACTTATGGATTTAGTAGAAAAAAAAGTGTGAGTTTAACTACGATTACCCCTCTATTACTTTTAGCTGCATGTAGCACCTCATAGGCTAAGCCAGCATTTTTAAGCATGAATCGGTTTGTCTAATAAACCATGTCAAATGTTGTCAAATTACCATGTCTACAATTTCTCGAAATCTTAAGGTTAGTAGTCAATTTTCCTTAAATTTTGAAGTATTCATCAATTGAACAATTCTGACATACCTATGACTTATGATATTTCCCACTAGGGAAATGTGTAGTAAATGCAAATATGCAAGTGTATATACACAGTAATAATGATTATGACCAATAGATTTCTTTTTCATACAATCCTTCATCTTTTTATGCACCATCTTGGTCGCTCTCGCTAATTAGTACTACAATCAGCCCCAACATTACCTCTCTTCTTATGCCAGTTCTCCCACCATGGAACAGAACCTCTAAAGTCTTTTCCTCTAAGAAAAAATGTAGTGATGCATCTGATTTGTTTTTCAATTGATTCTGAGGTGGCTAGCAAGGATCACCTAGAAGGGGGTGAATAGATAATATAAAAAATTCTTTTTGAATATAATGTGAAAATAGTAAATCAAAAACAAAGTTTGAATATCATTTAGATTTTGCATGGTCTTTGAATAGCAATTAAGTAAATGTTCAAGGAATTAAATTAAAGGAGCTTTAGGGATGAGAAAAATTGCACACAAGATGTATAGTGATTTGACTTAGATCAAGTGTACATCCACTCTCCCACGCTGACAGCCTACTGGTTGAATTCCACTAAATGATCAATCAAGAGATTATAAATTTTGAGAGATAACTCTCCATGTAAGATAGGTCACTCTATCTTACTTAATCACTATTACAATAAGTTTCTCAAAATTACAAATTTTAGCTCAAGAAAGACAAGTAACATTGATTTGAGTATGGTCAGACTTTGTAATAGATGATTCTGGATATTGTCTCTACTTCTGCTCCTCGATACTTTGTCTCATTTTATACTCCTCCATTTCCAAACTAACCGTTGGACAGTCTTCAGAGGATCATCTTTTAATCTTCATCTTGGACAGATTTGTATGAAAAGGATTGAGTAGACATTGAACGACAAAATCTGAATCTCACTGAATTTAGTCACCCATACAATCAGAACTTCAGTTTCCCAAAAAAGAGCCCCTCTATTTAGAAATAAACTTGTCTTGTGGTTGATTGTCAACCAATTTGAGATATTTTGTGATATTAATATTCCTCGCAAAATATTCTTTTAAGATCGAGTTAATCAAGACTT